TTTATTTCTTGTTTTTCATGTTTATTCTTTATTATTATAAAAGTAACTAAAATGTAAAAATAGAAATCTCTTTAGGTTAGTTATAATTAAATTAGTTAAAACAAATAATATAATAAAGATGTTTCACGAGGTATGCATACGAGTAGCTCTGAATAGCTTGCGGGTAATATAATTTGATAAAGTAACATGAGCCCCACATTCCCCATGTGATTTAAAACTTGTAAGGGCATGAATAGTAGTTAGAGATGGTTCAAAGGGAAATAAAACAACAAAACGTAAGCAGAAATAGATGTATGCTGTTACGAGTTTAAAGCTACTTAGGATAAATGAATGTAGTTTCATGTTACAATCCGAAGTCATTCTAGAAAGAAAAATCAGGCAATTTGGATTTATATCGAATTTTTTTTTGTGGTTATGAGTTGGTCAAATTGACCAACCTTGTATAGAATTAGGGTAGAGAAAATGACAAAATATAAAGTTTTACTGAAAACAAATATTTGAAATGTATTTGGGAGGTTTTAGAGATTACGCAAATGAAATTTGAGATGAAGAAAAGTATTTTTAATCTTAACATGAAAATCTCTTTTCACTCGGACTAATAAAAAAAAAAAAGAAGACTCAATGTATTAATGGACAAATCTTTTTTGAGTTTATTAAAAATACTTCACTAAAAAAATGATTTTTATAAGTGAAAGACTTATAATTTTTACTGAAATTCTGCCAAATTTTGTGAACATATACATACTATATTAAAAGTTAGTAGTATCAAAGCAATAAGGACTTTAAACGAATACAAGGTGGTCATTTGGTCAGTCAATTCGACCAAGTCGGTGTCGAGAAAGTCAATATAATACACGTGGGAATTACAACCTCTTTCTATTGACTTGTTGTAATACAGGTGTGAATTACAACCTCTTTCTATTGATTATGTAACAGATGTTTTTCTTATGCTACATGTGGACTTTTCGAACAGGCAGGTAAAACTGACAAAGATAGGGAAGTTATGAAAGACTGTTGAGACAACCACATTGTGGCACCTCTTACCTCTACAGTGATGATACTCAGTTTCAAATACATTTAGTGCAAGAATTACAGCTCAATAAAAATTATTTTTAAAGATTTTTTTTACAAATTAATAAAAACTCCTACATACCAAAATATGAAAACTAACAATAAAATCCAATTTATTTTAACACACACCATCACATTTTTACTGCTATTCATGTAGGAATAAATCAGTAGAGTAACAAATTTACCAGCTAAACAAATATACTTAAGTGCTACTCCTATTAGTGATGTGTAGATTCACTACACATTAATCTGTATATTTTTTAGGGGGGGGGGGAGGTCTAGTCTTATTTACTTTATGAATTTAGGAAAATCTTTTATATTATTTGCAGTTTCATATTTTATGATCATTCTTATTAGAGTTCAGTGATTAGTGGAATTTGCTAGTCAATTAATCATTAGGCTCATTAGCTGATTACTTTCATCCCAAAACACTAAATTTGTTTAGGTGATTATTAATTGATTTTATCATATTTTTGATTAACCAATTATTTTATGCAATATTCATCATAGGTAGTTGATTATAACAATCAAATAAATTGCTCAGATCTTATTTAACTTTGTATTCAAGTTAGACTTGCATTAAGCATAGCTTCAAGGTAACAACTACAGATGTCGCATTTGTATGCTTAAACATTATATTACTAAAACCATTGTTCTATGAACAAACAGATGTGTCAATATTTTCTTACAGTGTTATTAAGCTCCACAGTCACTTCTGTGTTGTCTCCAAAGTCAGAGGTCATGGAGTTGCTGGACAATGTCTACCTGCAGAGGGAAAATTGTAATTTTACCTTCTGTATTTTCATTATAAGATACAAAACTAGAAATGTCATTTCTATCACACACATAACCAACTTGATTTTGATGCAAATGAACTATTTCGTGATTTATCAATGAGAACATAATCTATACCTTTTTAACATTTCAATCAAAATGGACCTTTAGCAGTTACACTAACCCTACAAGTAATGATGGATCTTAGCCGTCACACTGACACTACAAGTATTGATGGATCTTCTGTTGGTTACATGATTTCTAATAATATACAAGTCTCATAAAGAATGTAAACAAAAATACCTCCAATACTGCAAACAATCACACTAATTACTGCTAGACCTTCCTATGTATTTCATGCAAAAAATGAGTGATCTCATCTAACTTTTGATCTGCTCTTTACAGTGCTCCAGACAAGATGAGTAAATATGCATTTTTAACATAAATGCATTAGATATAAAAATTATGTTTACCCAACATACATACTATTTGCTGGTACATATATTATCCCAGTATATTTGTACATTCACCAATCTGAAAGATAAAAAAAACCTGAAATAAAACGAACACAATGTATGGAAGATGATTCTCGCCATAAACTGTGAGTTGTAGGATTTGCATCCCACTATATGGAAATCAACTATATAAATAACTGTGTCAGATGTGTGCCTTCCAGAACCAGAAAATAGTCACAAAAATCAAAAGTTTTACAAAGATTGCTTTCAAATATTTAACAACTACCAGATACTGTTTACCTTGAAAACAGATTGTAATTTCTAAAAAATATCAATATTTAATTATTAGTTCTTTTTTTGCTGAGGGAGTTGGGAGTCCAAAAATCCCCCTTGGTGTCCCATAATTTATAATTACATATTTTAATTCACTTCTGATCGCCCAGTGATTCATTAACCCTTTTCTTAAACTTCTGTAAAGTTACAGCCTTTACTACATTAGATGGTTACTTGTTTCACTTTTATTGTAGAAAAACAACAACAACAAAAAAAGCTTTAACTAGAGTTGTGTCTAATTTTTCTAGTTCTTAAATTTATGACTTCTACAATTTTTAAGCTACATTTTAGAATTTAAAACAAAAACGTTTAAGTTAAGAAACATCTTTGCATAACTGGTGAAATTGCTATTTTTGGACTCAGAATTCAACCCCAAAAATCTAATGCCCTCATCTTATTGATGCCCTTAATTTTGAATACATCAATTAGATCACCTTTGTACCTTCTCTTTTCTAGACAAAACCTATCTTTACATGCAAGTTATAATTTTCCTACTCTGAAAATGTATTTCTGATAGGTACTTAACTCCACTCACATAAATAGCTATTCTCGTTCAGTGCTGCACTCTATGTGCACATTTTTTTTTACACATGGCACAAGCCTTCTATCTCCCCTTCATTGGAATTGACTGATTCCAATGCATCTCTCCTGCAAATCATCATGCGTCAAACCTCCACCAATAAGAGTGCGACATACTCTCATAACATGTGTTTCCCTCTATTCAATTCTACCAAACTATCAATTCTAGTTTTGACAGAAGATGGAAGCACCGGTTTTCAATGGGAAGAAAGGGTGAGATGGAGATAAGTACCTATTGGAAATACATTTTCAGTGCAGGAAAATCATAACTTCCAATATGGTACATTACCTCTTTTCAAATAAATAGCTAGAATACCATATTAAATAGGTGGAGGGACCGGTGCAAGGGAAAAAAAAGGGGGCATTCTTCGAAAGTGTCCTAAGAACACTTTCTAAGAGGAGACAGTCAGATTCTAAGATTTGATGTGGGGAACCGCACCACTTCTGAAACCACTTCGCCCACAATAGAAAGATGTTGCATGTACACAGAAAACAGAGGAGCACATCCAATTGGGAGAGAACTATGGCTGGAAAATGATCCAAACCATGCAATATTTATGAAACTCAATCCCATTATAAAAGTGGGTAAAATGAAAAGGATGTACCCTTAAGTGTAGAGTGCTAAGCTGCGATGGACCATCCACAATGAGTCAACTACATGCAAAACTCATGACACTGGGAACCAACATCCACACGGGTGTAGGAAAGAGGATCATACCAGTGGCAAGTCAAGTACAATCCAAAACCCAGACATCTGGCAGGAGTAGGAAAGAGGATCATACCATCATTACCCCAAGTTCATGTGACCGGAGGGAATCTAGAACTCCCACAACTCATGAACGGGGCACATGTGAATACGATAAATTGATAGAACGATCCAGGAACCCGACACCAGTATCAAAAAGATGTCTTATATAATGTAAGCCATCTCCATCAAAAGTGAAATTGACCAGAACCACCCCAAGCACATTGACATCCTCGGAATAACGGAACAGAAAGAGCCATAACAATCTGCAGTTATCTACATCGTGACCCACAATACTGATGAAGTACAAATGAAGGAGAAATATAGACATCTGTAATACATGTGTGAGGACTTATGTTGATTGGTTCTACTATAAATCCAAAACCCGGCCACCGAGAACTGACATCCATGTGGGGATAGGATGAGGGATCCCAATCGAAGGGGTGAACTGAAATTGTGACATCTCACTCTCATTTGTTTTTATGTTTCATATTGGAGGATATAATGTCATCTACACCAGCAGAACACCACTGCCCTACTCTCAACTGAATAGTTTTATAATCATGTGTATATATATATATATATATATATATA